GGTGCTGTCCCCTCCTCTCCGTTGCGCAGCTCTGCGCGGACCCGGTCTGCGACTTCTGCCTCCGCCAGGTGCTACCCGGACCGTGCAGGTAGCCGCGCTGCCCCGGAAACGGGAGGCGGAGCGCTGGGCTCCTGGGTTCCTGGGTCCCCTCCCCGCGCCCGGCGCCGCTGGGGCGGGTCTTAGGGCCGGGGACGCGCCCCCTCGCGGGGTAGTTCGAACCTCCGTCCACCACGTCGCTGCCCCTGCCAGGGGGAAGGGAGGATGCCCCGGACCGGAGCACCGGACTCAGACTTTGGAGTCCCAGGAGGCTGGGACCACACCTGCCTCCCCTCCGCTTTCCTATGCTGCCGGCGTCCACCACCAGGGTGCTCAGGCTCTCCGGCACAGGTGGCCCAAATCGCAGAACGCCCTCCTTTGCTTTGTAGACTCAGGAACCGGGCAAGAAAGGGTTAAGTGGAAACATTCTTGCAAATCAGGGAACATAAGTTTTCCAGGATCTCTGTTCCCTTCCCCCACCAGGACCATCTGTCCCCCTCTTATTCAATCCACTCCCACCCCCACCCCACCCGCTGTATTGCAAATATAGCTCTGTGGCCTGAGGGTCCCTAAAAGTAGGAGTGCCATGGATTCTCCCCTACCCCACCTTCTGCCCCGCCCTCAGGAGTCCCAGTGGATGGCAAGGGAGCAAGGTAAAAGTAACAGTAACAGGAATGCCGTTGTTGTTGTTGAGAACTGCCTGTGCAGGGCTGTGGGCTCACAGCCTCCCTATGCTGCATCTTCCACCAGCCGTAGAGATGGTGATTATGCTGTGGCTTTGCAAAAGAAGCAAGTAAGCAAGGCTCAATACCATTTTGAAAATAATAATAATATTAAAGAATTTTTTTCAACTGGAGAGAGGCTGGTTCTTGAGAATTCACAAAAGCAGATGCAGACAGGAAGTAGGTGAAGGAGTTAGGCTCTGCACTTACGCATCCCTCCGTGGCCGAGTTTCCCAAGTTTTGGTTTAACCTTATTTATTTTTTTATTTTCCCACTCAGAACATCTGGTGGAAAGCTGGACTGGAGGAATGTCTAGTGCGGTGGATTCCTTATCCCATTTCATCCTCAGGAGCCGGCATTCTGTGCTGGGCTGGGGTATGCTGACCCATGTTTGCTGTGATTTTGTCCCCTCGTAATAGAGAAGGTTCCCCGTGTGAGCTCCTCACCTCCAGACGCTTTCTGCCTCTGGGCTGTCTGGGCCACCTTTCCTTGTTCTCCGCCTTCCTTCTTGCCCTATGCATCAGGCACACAAGTCCAGGAACCAGGAGCGTCAGTCTCAGGCTTGCTTCCAACACCCCAAATGTCTGAGGTGCTCCCACAGCCCTGGACACTTTCTCTGCTTGGGAAAAGCCTTCCCTAAAGAACCACTTCCAACAATTGCTTTGTATTAATAGGAAGAAAAATGTAAAGATGGCATGATGTTAAGTGACTCACATATGTGATCCAGCTAATCCTCATATCAATCCTCTGGAGTGTTGAGTGGAGTTATGTCCATTTTTGCGATGAGAAAATTGAGGCTCCAAGAGGCTGGGGCTGGTGCCCATGGAGGCAGAGACAATGAGTGTCCATGATGGGCCCAGGTCTTTCTGACTTCAGCACCCATGGTCTCAACCAGTAAGCCATGCTCTCCTTCCCTCCCTCTCAGAAACACTGTTCAGTACTTCTAGGATTTACCCATGACCTCGATCAGCAACATTGTTCCTGCTGACAAAGGTGTGTCTTCATGGATTTGTTTTTTAATCTTATTTTCGGCAAAAGTTTAGGCAGCAGTAGAGGGTCCCATTTAACAACTTCTCCCCAAGTGTCCAATTACATTGGCCGAGTTCTTCTCCAGGCAGGAACATTCTTGTGATCTCTTCCTTTATCACTCATCTAATTTCTCTTCCGTTTACCTTCCCATCTTGGCCTTAAAGTACAGGCTGACCGTTTGGTCTCATCTAGAGTGTATTCTTTAAGGGATCACAGTACTTTGGGGTGATAGCATCTTAATCTGAGTCCATGGGTTATGTCGCTACGAGGCAACCTGCAGGTTTGATGTCCACTCAAGGTTTGAAGAGTTTATCTCAGGACAACAGTCTTGGGCAGACCTCCGGTCTGAACCAGTTCAGTCGGGCTGTTTGTTTGCTTGTTTAGGAATTTACATTCTGGTCCACATTATTCTCCCATTCCATCAGGATCCACCCTGATTCAGACACTCAGTAGTGATCAGTAGGCTCGTTAGTTCTTCCAGTCTCCCTGGGTAGCAAGAAGACTGGAGACTTCGGGGACTACTGTGTCCCCTCCCCTGCATCACCCATTCCCAGGACCAGAAAAGGCTTGTCTGTGTCTGTGTGGATAGCTGTGTATTTTTTTAACCACTTATTCTGCTCTCAGGAGACATAAGACTGTGGTTCCTATAGCCTCTTGTTTCTTTGTCTGGATGAGTGTCCACCAGTAGTTATATCACAGATGGGCACCCTCAAGCTTTGAAGACCCCAGACACGACTCACCAAATTAGTGTTGGTGTTTGCCTGATCACTGTTGTTCTTGACCAAGAGCAAGAGCTCTGGACTCCGATGGTTCAAATCCCAAACCTGCCTTATTTCCTAGCCAGGCTTAAGTCTGGGGCGGGGAGGGGACTCACATAACAATCTCCACTTCTTGTCCTGTTGCCTTGGAGACAACCCCCCTCCAAAAAAAACAGGTCTCCTGGGCGATCTGCATTGCGAAGCAGACTGCCTCTGTATTTCTCCCGTGGAGCAACCGGTGGCTTCCACGGCTGACCCTGGAGTTAGCAGGGGAGCCTCTAACCACGGCCACACCAAGCCTCTGCTCCGCCCTTTGGGCTTGTTTTTCCCCAAACCATTTTATTAAGAGCTAATCCTGACACCAGACCATTCCATAGTGCCATCCCATCAAGCAGTATTGTACAGCTGCTGCCACAATCAGATTCAAAACACGGTCTTACTTCTGGCGCTCCTTGACATTAGCTCCCCTACCCTGCCCGCCACCTCCCCTACTGTCCCCTCCTAAGAACCCTTATTCTAGTTGTTGGCTCTATCAGTTCATTTACATGTAAAGCCAGAAAAATATATAACAAAGATTCAAGACACAATGACAAAATACAACAGAGACAAAGCCCAATATGGAGAGAGAAAAACACACGGAAAATACTAATGACCAGATCAAGCCCAAAGTGTATCAGAGGAGAGATCACATGACAAGGTTTTAACGGTTCAAGTCGGGTTGATCATTTTAATCTTCTGTAGTCATCTCACCAATACTCTCTGTCTGGTCCCCGGGTTATTCCCATCTCTCGGTTATGGTCAGAGGGAAATCACCAGAGGCTTATTCTCGGTAGAGATCCTGCAAATGTAGGTGGGGCTTCCACAGTCCTCTGCATACCAGAATCTGGCAACTTAAGCTCAGATAGGATTCCGTCCTTCAGATTTGGATTACTGTATATACTCGAGTATAAGCCAACCCAAATATCAGCCGAGGCACCCAATTTGACCACAAAAACGGCATTAAAAACGTGCTGGAAAAACTCAGCTTATATACAAGTATATACGGTATATAATTTACAGTCTTTGGATAACGTATGTTGATGTGTTTCTTCCATGTGGACTTAGTTGGCATTTCACTGAGATGGCTGCTTGTTTGGAAATAAGCCTTTAAGACCCCAGATGCTATTCTATCTGATAGGCGGGAACCATCTAATTTCCTTACATTTTGCTGTGGCACCCATGTGGTAAGAACGAATTGTTCTCAGATTGGCGCTAGGATTAAGTGCCAGCAGGACTTGTTTTAAGTGAGTCCACAGCTGTGCAGGGTTTGGTGCCCAGCCACCATGCCCAGGGCCCCACTGTGGTACCTTTGGGCTACCACATCGAGTAATAAACACACCTCTGTGCAGTGTGAACCAAGTAAATATTTTCTGCTCAACACACAAACCCAGGTCCCTCACCATCTTGAGAATTGGCCACTACTCCGGCCTGTGAGAAGCCCTCGCAACCATCAAGTTCCTCACTTGCCTTGTTTTACAACTAAGTCTTCCGGGGTGTGTGGGGGGGCTGGTTCTGGCTGTGAGGGGAACCCCCTCTAGGCTACCCAATGCCCCTGCTCTCCAGCCCAGCTGTGCAGGCCCCAGCGTTTCCAAGGGGCTTGTTCTTTCAGACCTTTACACCAGGACTGACAGCAAGAAGAAAGAGACCAGAACCCTGGACCTGGTCACCCTTCTTGCCGCCCACCCACACCCTGTAGTCAGGGCTGCAAACCGATGCTTTTTTTCCTTTTCTGTCAATTCAATATAAACTCTGATAGCAGAGTTCAGGGCAGGGCTTTTAACAACTTCATTCCAGTTCACCCGCCTGCTGAGGGTCCCCTCCACTTTATTTTTTAACCCCAGATAGCCTGCAGTGGAATCTATCTTATCACAAGACCCTTCTTCTTGGGACTCTTGTTAGAAAAGTGGGTTCTGACTCAGTATATCTGAGGTGGAATGCAAATGCTCAGCAGGGCTTCAAACCGGAATGAACCAGTTGGAGGCCCTGCCCACAACAGAAGAATTCCAGGTTA